GCATGCTCACGGCCATCGCAGCCTCTACCTACTTGGCTCAAATGATCCTTCCACCTTAGCCTTCCAAGTAGCTGGAACTATAGGCACATGCCACCACACCCAGCTAATTTTTTGATTTATTGTGGAGATGAGGTCTCACCAAGTTGTCCAGGCTGCTCTGGAACCCATGAGCTCAGACAGTCCTCTCACCTCGGCCTCCCAAAGTGCTGGGATTATAGGCATGAGCCACCACACCAGACTAGACATCAAACTTTCAAGTGAAAACTCAAATGTTATCATTGGCAGCTATAAATACTGGCCAGTTGTTTCCTCGAAGTGAGTCTCGTGGTGTTCATTTTTTGGAAACGTGCTGCCAAACACCCAGCCCTCAGAACCTTAGATTGTCTGTCTGAGGCTTTTTCAAATAAAAATGATGCGGAATCAAAAAGAGTGGGGACTATTGTGCAAGTGTGTCCTTGACACTTCACACCCTCCTCAGTACCGCAGCCTCCAACCTGTATGTGTGGCCAAGGCTCACATAGACATGCTTGGTCAAGACTTAGTGAAAAAGGCATCTATAATAAGCAGGAGTATTCTTAAATAAATTCCTAAATAAAGCAGGAGCATCCTTTCTAACCGTGAGGCCTGGCATGAAGATGCAGTGAGGCCTGTGGCACCCTCCACCTCTCAGTGTCAGCCATGCAGGAGGCAAAGGGGGCTGTAGTGTTTTGAAAGTGTTGACCTGCTGGGTGCAGTGGCTCACGCCTATAATCCCAGCACTTTTGGAGGCTGAGGTGGAAGGACTGCCTGTGCCCATAGGTTCGAGACCAGCCTGGGCAACTTGACGAGACCTCATCTCTAACAATAAAAATCAAAAAATTAGCCAGACGTGGTGGCACGTGCCTGTAGTTCTAGCTTCTTGGAAGGCTGAGGGGGAAGGATCACCTGAGCCCAGCAGGTCAAGGCTGCAGTGACTGTGAGCGTGCCACTGCACTCCAGCCTGGGCAACAGAGTGAGACTCCAACTAAAAAAGAAAAAAAACAAAAACAAAAACTAATGCTGAAATGAGTTCTAGATAGCTAATTAGAATGAAATAACAGAAGAACTAAAGGAAAATGTAGGTGAACATATTTATATACTCTTGGGATGAAGAGATCCCAAACAAGGAAACAAAGAAAAACTCTAATTCAAAAGGAAGAAATCCTAAAAAGGGGGAATACATAAAAGTTTTTAACTTTTAAATCCCAAAATCACCATAGTAGATATCTGAAAGCAAATAACAAAGAGGGGGAGAGGCTTTGCAACAAACATGAAATATGTGTATTTATTTACCAATAAATAAAAATGAATGCAAGAATTGAAAAGACAAAACAAACAAATGCTCAACTACAATATTAATCCAGAATAGCAGTTTTCAAAGTGTGGTTCACAAGTGCTGACGCCTCCTAGGTCAACACTTTCTTTCTTTGCCACCACCTCCCAAAGTGTTGGGATTACAGGTGTGAGCCACCACGCCCAGCTAGGCATTAGTTTTGAGGCAGAAGTCTAACAGTTTTTTTCCCCCAAATGTTTGCTCCTAATTTGAATACTTATTTTTACCATCTACTAAATTTTTATCTATAATTTCATTTATTTCTGGATGCTGATAATTTTTAGCTTTTAAAATGATGACATTTTATGTTGGGGGCTGATTTTCTTTCTTTCTTTCTTTTTTTTTTTTTGGAGTTGGAGTCTCATTCTGTCGCCCAGGCTAGAGTGCAGTGGCACACTCATGGCCACCCCAGTGTCAACCTGCTGGGCTCAGGCGATTCTTCCACCTCACCTTTTCTTTTTTTTGTTTTTTTGTGTTTTTTTTGAGTTGGAGTCTCACTCTGTCACCCAGACTGGAGTGCAGTGGCCACTCCCGGCCACCGCAGCCTCAACCTGCTGGGCTCCGGCGATCCTTCCGCCTCAGTCTTCCAGGTAGCTGGAATTACAGGCGCGCACTACTACACCCGGCTAATTTTTTGATTTATTGTAGAGATGAGGTCTCACCAAGTTGCCCAGGCGGGTCTCGAACCCGCGGGCTCAGGCAGTCCACTCACCTCAGCCTCCCAAGGCGCGGGATGACAGGCTGAGCCATCGAACCCGGCTCACCTCACCATTTCAAGTAGCTGGAACTACAGGCACGCGCTACCATGCCTGGCTAATTTGATTTATTGTAGAGATGAGGTCTTGTCAAGTTGCCCAGGCTGTTCTTGAACCTGTGGGCTCACACAATCCACTTGCCTCAGCCTCCCAAAGTGCTGGGATTACAGGCTGAGCAACTGAGCCCGGGGCTGAATTTCATTCTTTTTTTTTTTTTTTTGAATTGGGTTCTCACTGTGTCACCAAAGATGGAAAGCAGTGGCATGATCACGGCTCACTGAAATCTTGACCTCCTGGGTTCAGGCAATCCTTCTGCCTCAGCCACTTGAATAGCTGGAATTACAGACATTTGCTACCACATCCAGCTAATTTTTATGAGTTTTTGTGGAGAAGAGGTCTCACTATGTTCCCCAGGTTAGTCTTGAACTCCTGGGCTCAGTTCTCCCAATTCAGCCTCCCAAAGTACTAGGATTACAGGTGCAAGCCACTGTGACTGGCCATCTATCATGTTTAAACAGAATAAAAACTTACAGAAGAAGTATTCAGCCTTTTTATTTTTAAAAATTCGGACATATTAGAGGCCTAATATTTGAAAACAGATTATTCTGGAGAAACCAGAAATTATAGTGTACTTTTATAATAAAGCATAGTCTATTCGTATCGGCAAAGAATACTTAATAAAACATTCAATCTTATAATTAGGTTTTACAATCCTGTCGGGACTGACTTTATCAGTTAGTTACATTAAAACCAGTGAAAATGAAGCCAAGGTTTGTTTTATTGGACGGTTACTTTTTTTTTTTTTGAGTTGGAGTCTCACTCTGTCACCCAGACTGTAATGCAATGGCCGCTCCCAGCCACTGCAGCCTCGACCTGCTGGGTTCCGGCGATCCTTCCACCTCAGCCTTCCAAGTAGCTGGAACTACGGGCGCGCGCTACCACGCCCAGCTGATTTTTTTTTTTGATTTATTGTAGAGATGTGGTCTTGTCAAATTGCCCAGGCGGGTCTCGAACCTATGGGCTCAGGCAATCCATTCACTTTGGCCTCCCAAAGTGCTGGGATTACAGGCTGAGCTACCGAGCCTGGCCAGTTCTTTTTTTTTTTTTAATCAATATTTTTTATTATGATTTTGTGGGGTACAGTTAAGGGTTAGGTGTACAATTACATTCAGGCACCCTGTTGATAAGAGGTCCTGGCCAGTTCTTATGACTTTAGAGATAGTATAGGATGCCTTAGTAGAAATTACTACTTCGACTGAAACAATTTAAAAAGTAACTCATGCTTTTTTTTCTTTTGAGTTGGAGTCTCACTCTGTAGCCCAGGCTGGAATGCAGTGGCACACTCACAGTCAATCCTTCTGCTTCTGCCTTCCAAGTAGTTGGGACTACAGGTGCATGCCACCATGCCCAGCGAATTTTTTGATTTATTGTAGAGAAGAGGTCTTGCCATGTTGCTCAGGCTGGTCTCGAACTCCTGGGCTGAGGCAGTCCTCTCGCCTCAGCCTCCCAAAGTGCTGGAGTTACAGACGTGAGCCACCGTACCTAGCTATATGTTTTTTTAAAGGTGCCTTAAGTGTCACTTTGAAGGCCCTTACCTTTCAACACACTGAAATTGGTGCTTAATTGTCTTTACTTTTTAGCTCCCTATAGATTATTATTATTATTATTATTATTATTATTATTTTTGAATTGGAGTCTCACTCTGTCACCCAGACTGGAGTGCAGTGGCTGCTCCCAGCCACCACAGCCTCGACCTGCTGGGCTCCGGCGATCCTTCCGCAACAGCCTTCTGAGTAGCTGGAACTACAGGCGTGCGCTACCACGTCCGGCTGATTTTTGATTTATTGTAGAGATGAGATATCGCCAAGTTGCCCAGGCGGGTCTCGAACCCACGGTCTCAGGCAATCCACTCACCTCAGCCTTCCAAAGACGTGGGATTACAGGCTGAGCCACCGAGCCTGGCTCATTTAAGTTATTGAAGCAATCTGTGAGGACCTTTAATATAACTCCATCTAATGAGGATAGTGTTTTGGTTTTTCAGGTTCTCAAGAAGGAAGATATAAATAAAATACTAGCCACCAAAGTGTTTCACGAGTTTCACAGTGATAGGAATGTATTAAAGTGATGTGGTCCCACACTCTGTTATACTCCACTGTTCAACCTCCATATTCATTGAGACTTCTTCAAGTTATGAAACTTAGAAGGGTAAAACATTTACATTGGACCACTTTTCCCTCTAACCTTGTCTTACATAATGGAGCACAAAGTGTGGCCGCTTCTGTCTAAAAGAATGGCAAGAAATCACAAGTCTCATGAGTAAAAGAACATCGCCCTCCAGTCCCATCTTCTCTTCCAGCTGGAGCATGGCTGTCTGATCCCAGCCATCTTCCCCAGAGGTGCTGGGAGGGAACGGGGACATCTTCCTTGGACAGTTCACCTGGGGCCCTTCTTTGCCGAGTGGAGTGGAGTGACTCCCTTGACACTGTTCTTGTCTGAACATATGCTAGGCTTTTCTCACCCTCTTGAATATGTTTTTCTGACATTGTCTAGTGCACGATGTTTTGGCACTTCAGAAATTCTACTATTTTTGTGACTTGAACTCTTTCTCTGCTTGTATTGTTCCCATCCTGTTAATGACATGTCTGAGGAAAGAGGTTCATCCTTGTAATAGAGCTCAGCCTTTTTGTTTTAATGGCATGTTTTTGAGTCTGAATGTGTGTTGTACATTTATTATTAATATATTTGTAGGAATGGAAATGAGGTTCACCAGGAGGCATTTCTCCCTCTATGGTGCTTGTTAGACTTGTTGGGTTATGTATTTCGGGTAGTGTTTTAATCTAAATTTTGAATAAAAGTAAATTTTCTCTAACTTGCATTATCCCCTGATGTGCCAGGATTGGACTGGTCTGAAGAGAGTGGAGAGGAACTGGAGGACTCAGAGCAGGCTTCCCCATACCAGGTTGCCTGGTCCATCCGAGAAGCCCTCCGATATGAGAGACACACGTGAGTCTTCTGCTTGTTTCACCACTGCAGCAGGTGGATTTTTTCCTATATATGCTAATGATTTTATTTTATTGGATTTCCTTTTATTGTAAAATAGAAGTAGAAAATTTGGTGGTAAAATGTATTCCCTTCCAAAACATTGGTGGTACAGTACATTCCATTTGGGGGAAGTGTGCTACATTGCTGAGCAGAGCTCCCCTTTGAGGTTCTCGGTAAATGTTCTCTGTGCTTTTCCCATATGTCATGAAGGGAATTGATCGTAAGAGGATTTAGAATGAAAAGGACCTTAGAGATGATTTGACCCAATGTCTTCATTTTACAGAGGAGGAAAGCAAGACCCAGGTAACTTGAGGCACTTGCCCGTGGTCACTTGTTTGGAGTCTCCTGTCTGGCTCCTCCATGTGTCTTTGGCACAGTAGCTAGAAATAGTGCTTTTCACTTCATTGCTATCTTCTGCAGGACTGTTCCATTCTTTAATATTTCTATTGTGCTAAAATGTTTTTTAAGATAAATCTCCTTAGGTGTGCGTTGTATCTATCCTACCAGAAAGCTGTTTTAAGGGCTGGGCGCAGTGGCATGTGCCTGTAATCCCAGAGCTTTGGGAAGCTGAGGTGGGAAGATTACTTGAGCCCAGGAGTTCAAGAGTGGTCTGGACAACATTTCAAGATCCCATCTCATAAGCAAACAAACAAAAAAACAGCCAGGCTCGGTGGCTCAGCCTGTAATCCCGTGCCTTGGGAGGCTGAGGTGAGTGGATTGCCTGAGCCCATGGGTTCAAGACCTGCCTGGGCAACTTGGTGAGACCTCATCTCTGCAATAAAATAAAAAAATTAGCTGGGGGTGGTAGTGCGCGCCTATAGTTCCAGCTACTCGGAAGGCTGAGGCGGAAGGATCGCTGGAACCCAGCAGGTCGAGGCTACAGTGGTCGGGAGCGGCCACTGCACTCCAGTCTGGGTGACAGAGGTGAGGCTCCAACTAAAAAAAAAATAAATAAATAGACAAACAAACAAACAGGCTGTTTAGGTATACTTAGAGCCCTCTACAGTTTAGAGCCTTCTACGGTTTTTTCCAGGTGTATCTTAGAAAGATGTGCTTATCTAAGGTCTGTTGAGGGTGTGACATCCCCTTTAGTGGTAGTAAGAACTGATTTTAGCATTGTACAGATTCACTAGTTCGGTGGGCAGTACCACATGGATCCTTGTCTGTGAAGCCAAAAGGTGACTCATGACCTCAGCTAATTGTTTATTTAAAATATTGTGGTTTTAGCCCGGCTCGGTGGCTCAGCTTGTAATCCCGCGCTTTTGGGAGGCTGAGGTGAGTGAATTGCCTGAACCCGCGGGTTTGAGACCCGCCTGGGCAGCAAGACCTCTTCTCTACAGTAAATCAAAAAATCAGATGGGCATGGTAGCGCATACCTGTAATTCTGGCTACTTGGAAGGCTGAGGCGGAAGAATCGCTGGAGCCCAGTAGATCGAGGCTGCGGTGGCTGGGAGCGGCCACTGCACTCCAGTCTGGGTGACAGAGTGAGACTCCGACTCAACAACAACAACAACAACAAAAAATATATATGTGTATATATATATGTATATATGTATATATACATATATATATATATATATAGTGGTTTTTGCTGGGCATAGTGGTTCACGCCTGTAATCCCAGCACTTTGGGAGGTGGTGGTAAGAGGATTGCCTGAGTCCAGGATTTTGAGACCAGCCTGAGCAACTTAGTGAGACCTTGTCTCTACAATAAATCAAAAAATTAGCCGCGCAAGGTAACGTGCACCTGTGGCTTCAGCTACTTGGAAGGCTGAGGGAGAAGGATCACCTGAGCCCAGTAGGTAGAGGCTGCAGTGACTGTGAGTGTGCCACTGCACTCCATCCTGGGCAACAGAATATGACTGACTCAAAAAAATAAAAATATGAATAAATAAATAAAGTATGTTTTCATTTATTTATTTATTTGTTATTTATTATAAAGATGTGGGGTACAATTCAGGATTAGGTATATAAACATTGATCATGCACGCACCCTTGTTGATGAGGTATGCCCCTGCCTCCCCTTTCAGTTTCCCTCAACTGCTGATCCCAAATATGTTTTTAATAGATATGCAGCAAGATAGAGGGAGACCTGCTGCTTGCCTCAGGCTGACTTTAGGAAGCCCACAGTGTCCCTGCATGGACATACAACGTAGGGCTTTTGAGTTTATACAATTAAAGTGTAATGTGTCAGCATATTCAGAGGTGATGAGGTTTAGGGACCTGATTCACTAGAGACTACTCCACAGACCAAAATGCCAGTTTCTAGTGAGAGAAACAATCATCAAGTCATGCAGGTGGCACTGAACACAACTGCACAGGAAGCAGAATCCCACCAAAGCTCATTTGGATGTGGAATTCAAGCAAGGAGGGCCAGTTGGATTTTATTAATGGCCTGTTGTGTTGTTAAATTTAATAGCACTATGCATCTACTTCCACGCTTGGGTTTGTCTCTTACCTGGTTGTCTTGCCTCACTTATCCACTTGATAGTCGTGGAGAATGTTATACTTGCTCCCGTCACTCTGAGGTTCTGTTTTGCATGTCATGTGTTCTTCTTTCAGGCAGAATACAATAGCATTCCCTGGACTCGAGCACCTCAGTTTCAGACACCACCAGTCATGTCTCCCCAGGTGGTTCTCTCTACCTGACTTGACTTGATACATTTTTTGATTAATTTTACAAATTGCTGTAAATGAGTTAACATAAACAATGACTCAGCAAAATACCTAGTATATGGGAAATGACTAATAAATGGTAGTTAGGAGTCTCAATTTAATTTTCTTTCTTTCTTTTTTTTGGTTTGGAGTCTCGCTCTGTCACCCAGACTGGAGTGCAATGGCACGCACCCGACCACCGCAGCCTCCACCTGCTGGACCCTGCTGCCTCAGCCTTCCAAGTAGCCGGAACTATAGGCGCGCACTACCACCCCCAGCTAATTTTTTTTATTTATTGTAGAGATGAGGTCTCGCCAAGTTGCCTGGGTGGATCTTGAACCTGCAGGCTTAGACAGTCTACTCGGCCTCCCAAATTGCTGGGATTATAGGCTGAGCCACCGATCCCGGCCTCAGTTTAATTTTCAAGGCAGTCTGAACATCTGTACTGGAGTGTTGTGTTGGTTGGAAACAATATATTTTTAGTTTCTGCTTTCTGTTCTTGCAGAGTTATCAGAGCACTCTTGTTGTTTTAGGCTTGGGCCATCTCATTTTCCTTCACCTGTGTGACCTTTTAGTTCCTCGGCCACCTTTGCCGACTTGCTTCCTCTTTGACAACCAGGGCACTCTCTCCTGGCTCTTCTTTTCCTTCTGATTGCTTTTTTTCTTTTTACAAGTAATTATCCTCACTCCCAGCCAAGCTCTTGTTTTGATCTTTCTCCTTCCTTCTTTTCTCTTCATTCATTCATCTATTTACTCATTTGCTCATTCTGCATACTCTTGCTAAGCCCTTCCTGTGCTGCAGATAGGCAGCCCTTCTTCCTCTGGGTGAGGCTGGGCTTGGACTGGTCAACCTATCCTCTGCACCTGCACTCTGCTTCCGTATGTGCCTCTCTGCCCATGTCCTATATTTTAAGTTGCCTGGAGAACATCTTTTTTTATCTTTTTTGAGTTGGTGTCTCACTCTGTTGCCCAGGCTGGAGTTCAGTAGCTTGCTCATGGCCACCGCAGCCTCGACCTGCTGGGCTCAGGTAATCTTTCCACTTCAGCCTCACAAGTAGCTAGAACCACAGGTGCATGCCACCATGCCTGGCTAATTTTTTTTGTTGTTGTAGAGACGAGGTCTTGGCAAGTTGCCCAGGCTGGTCTCAAACCCCTGGCCTCAGACAATCCTCTCACCTCTGCCTCCCAAAGTGCTGGGATTATAGGCATGAGCCACCACGCCTGGCAGCACTTCAGTTTTAATTGATATAGCTTCAAACAAAGTTTTACTTTTGCTTGTGGTTTCTTTAATTCTGTTTATTGTGCTGGTTTATATTTCATTGCCTTGTATTCTGGTCCTTGTTACTTCTCCTTGCTCTGGATTTAATTTGTTTGTCTTCTTACAGTTTTTAAGGTGCAAGAATTTAAGGTGTAACTTAAATTAGTTGTCTGAGATCTTTGTTTTCTAATATTGACACTTGGTGCCACACATTTCCCTCTAACTATTGGTTTTAGCTGCATCTTATAAATTTAAATAAGACAAATTTTAATTTTCATTCAGTTCAGAGTACTTTCTTATTTGTTTACTTATTTTTAATTTTAGAGTTGTGGGACACAGTGAGGGTTTACAACGTAAGTAGGCTATATGTATGTGAAGTTTGGGCTTCTAACAGGCCCTCTGTCCCCCTGGTAGTAGACCCCTTGTGTTGCCATGTGCCACCCCCCAACTCCCCACCTGTGCCCAGCAACTGCTGATCCTACCCTTGTGCTAATGTGACTAGTGTTCAGGGCCCACTTAAAAGTGAGAACATGTTGTGTTCAGTTCTTTGTTTCTGTGATAGTTCACTTTGTACAATGGTCTCCAACTGCATCCAAATCATATGGAGGTCATAATTTTGTTCTTCTTATGACTGTGTAATACACCACTGTGTATATGTATCACATTTTCTTTATCCAGTCTACTTTAGATGGACTTCTGTATTGACTCCATGTTTTTGCTATTGTGAATAGTGTGACGATAAACGTGTGTTTGCAGGTATCTTTTTGGTAGAGCAATTTATGTTCTTCTGGGTATATTCCCAGGAGAAGGATTGCTGGATTGTGTGGAGGCTCAATTTTCTTTCTTTCTTTTTTTTTTTTTTGAGTTGGAGTCTCACTCTGTCACCCAGACTGGAGTGCAGTGGCTGTTCCCAGCCACCGCAGCCTCGACCTGCGGGGCTCTGGCGATCCTTCCGCCTCAGCCTTCCAAGTAGCTGGAACTACAGGCGTGCGCTACCACGCCTGGCTAATTTTTGATTTATTGTAGAGGTGAGGTCTTGCCAAGTTGCC